CGACCAACGACGATGAGATCGATGACTCGTAGTAGCTGTCTTCGTTGGGGGCGCCCAAAAGTACCCCTCCCCTTGCAAATAATTAATGGCCACAGCTGGGACGCCTATCGATGAAATCAACACTTGCAACGACGATCTTGTCGTGGCAATCATCGAAATCATCGCAGGAAACACGATCCCAACCGAAAATCATCTGATTTTGTTAGAAGATTTATTTTGACTAAACCCTAAGCAATTAGGGAAAAATTATAGGAAATTAAAGAGATGGCCCCCCTCTCCTTATCCCCGGTAGACGCGCCGGAGAGGAGCCCTAGGCGTGGCGACGGTGATGACGACGGCTTGTGAGACGGAAAGGGTGGCGACTTTGTGAGACCCTGCGGTGCAAAACAACCTGCAAAATTATGTTATGTTACAATATAAACAAACTAAGGTGTTGTTTGGTTCCAAAACCATTATCGGCAATGTAAATGGAACTAGATCGTTGCACTAATGGTTCTACATAATGGAAATAATTGATTATTTGTTTCTACATGTGCACAAGGGAGCAAGGTGACTGGATTAGTTAACGCTAGAGAGTGAGCGGTATCTGCATTCTATAGTCTCGTAATGATTCACACTATTAATCACTACGGACTAGCCGAAGCAAATGACAAGAAGCATACTCAAAATTGCGTTGTGAACTGATAACGAGCCATGGACCTCAAATCAAATAATATCTTAGTTAAAGCTAATATCATCACACTTTTGTAGAAGGGAGGCTAAAACATAGTCGTGAGTTGGTGACTAGAAGAATCTATACTAACATCTACATCATCGTGCCTTTTAATCTCTCCTATATCAATGTAAGTTTGACAGATATCCTACCAAGCATTAAATCTAAAAATCACTCAAGTGATTTAAGGTCTTCTCTCACTCATTTTTTCTGTCCACTCCAAGAATGCCATGTAATCTTCTCCCCTAACTCCAGCAAGGTTAGGGTTACATTTTGGGGTTCAGTGACTTACCTGAATCCGACTAGCTTAGAAGGATTGCTTGGGAGAAGGCCGGCCTAGCAATGGTGGCAAGCGCGAGGGGCAGGGTGAGGCAAGGCGACGATGGTCGGGCAGTGGGGGAAGGTGGTTGGGTGGCGAAAAGGCGGGGGCGTGGAGGAGATAGCCCAGTGACCTCCACTAGGTTAGCGTGGCAACGGTCGGATGCGACAGGGCATCGATAGAGCTGGCCGGAGGTGATGGCGGTGGGGAGCTTGATTGGAGATGAACAAGATGGTGAGAAGCACATCTAGTGGATTTTAGGGGCGGATCATGGTGGAAGACGGTGGATCCAGCTGGGGGGGAATGGGAGCTGTTGTAGACATAGGGCCAGAGAAGGCAGAGATGGTGGGGGCGAGCCGCTCGTCGGGGTCGAGCACAGTCGTGTGGACGGAAGGAGGAGGGAAAAGGATAAAGTGGAGAGAAGACTTGATCTGGATCCTTTATTTTTATATGTAAAGGCCAAAAAATTACGTGATGGTTTAGTTTTATATCACTCATTTATTGTCTAGATAGACGCACTCTTTTTTTAAAAAAAGCATCTACATTATATAATATGAGACCATATCAACCAAAGATTGTACTAGACATATAGCTGAAACTACAAAATTATCATATATATGAAACTGGTTAGTTAGCTGATTAAAATTAACACGTGAGTTTCTGGTCTCACAGATGAAAGATGCCTAGCCACATATAGATAACATGAGACGGGCTAGAACCAACCATGTTTAATCGTCCCTCCTAAAAAGAGTGGTGGGCACTGGGCAGTGGAACTAAAAAAATTTGTATGAGGTCTATCTGTACGGAAACACCGTCCCTCCTTCTAAGATGATGATGTGGCATACATGTTAGCTGTACGGTCCGCACGACGTCTTGATGAGGATGCTCTGCACCGATTTTTTTCCCCAGTGTAAGAGTTACCGCCCGACCACCCCCAGGCGACAGGCAAGTTTCGTCGCTAAAGTTTAGAAGAAATATTTTTTATATCAAAGAAAAACTTTATAATTTATTAGCTAAATATTTTTGCATAACGAGAATCCTCATGGATGCTAAAAGCTTCTGCCTCTGCTGGCGGTGGGGGTGGGCCATTTTGCTCAGGCAGGCTCCTCACCTGCCTCCCATCTGCTTCCCGTTAGACTAACTCGGCTTCAACGGATCACCATTCATACGACGCATTTTGGCTACCGGCGCAAAAGAAACCCAAAAAAGTGTCGCCTCTCTCCTCGCTACGCAAATCTCCAATGGTGGAACGGCACCCGCGTTGTCGTCGTCGTCGCCTCCGCAGCACCGCGGGATTCCCCCTTGGTGCGCCCCTTGGCGCCATTGCCCTGGCTCCGAGCCGAGGGGCCGGACATGCCTGCCGCCGGCTGCGAGGAGGCATTCGCCTCGGCAGGTCTCCAGGCATGGCTACTGCCGCCTCTGCGTCGAAGGTTAGCGCTTCCGCGCTCACAAATCCCTCCCCCGCGTGAGATTGGGCGGTCTTTTTCGGCTGAACGCTTGCAGATGGGCCTTTGCTCTGCTGCTCGCCCTCATATGGTTGTTGCCTACCACCTCCTAGCTCCTGCATACCAGCAGCGCCTCACTCACCTGCCATGGCCTAATAATTGCACACACATTCAGCAGCGGATTTGTCGGATACCATAAAAGGGGTACCCTAAGCAAGAACCGAAAAAATTGCTTAGACCTTGTAAATATCGAAGCCAAGAGACAACCACGAGGCCTCGGCCGATTCTCCGATTCGCCCGAGGTCCACGCCGCAAGGCCTCGGACGAGGTACCAACTCTCCGCCTTGCCCGAGGCCCCCTCGCCCGAGGCCCCGCCCCGCAAGGCCTCGGACGAGGTACCGATTCTCCGCGTTGCCCGAGGCCCCGCCCGAAATGCCTCGGACGAGGTACCGGTTCTCCCCCTCGCTCGAGGCCGGCTCGGCAGCTACCCCGTCACCGTCGCCTCGACCGGGACGTCACGTCCAACTAACGTAACCAACCACTCCCGCGACATCAGTCGAACGACGGCTCGACACAGCGGAGTGACCGACGAGATGGGAGTCGCATCAACGCCATGCCGTCTGGGACGGGACGGGGCAGGGGTTACCGGCCGCTATGCTCGGCACTATGCCCACGACTGACACCCATGCGACACTGTGCTGCCTAACCCCACCTGCTCCGACGATAGTGCGGCGTGGAGAGTCATGTCCGAGTCCCTGTAGCCTCGGAATCAGCGTAAAAGACCAACTGCTCCCTCCGAGCCTCGGCTACCCGCCTCCGTACCCCTGTAGCCTCGGGACTCGCGCCCGCCGAGCCCCCCCACAATGGTTTAGCCTCTGCACCGATGGGGCCTCGACTCTCTACGCCGTCGACATACAACGACCGGCATGTCATCCACGGTCTGCGTCATGCTCTGCGTCAAGTCATCACAGGAGCCCCCACGTCGCACAGGATCGGGCGTGACCGGCGCGTCGCTCTAGTGCACCGAGGACAAGACCGCTCCGTCGACCATGCCGCCACAGTGACAAGCACAGGGCTCGGACATACCGCCTCCACCCACAAAACGCCACGTAGCGAACGCATGTATCGCCCATGTCCTCCCCTTCAACTATAAAAGGGGTGACCGGGGCCGTTTCTAGACACGCACTCACGGAGACATCGCTCAGATAGACGCACACGCGCAAGCAACGAGCAACACTCTGTAATACGCACGCTCCCTCACTGCGAGAGGTCAACATCTCAAGCAACCCACGTCGCTCCACGCAGAGACCTAGGACAAACTCCCTCTCTCGCCTTGCTTGTAAACCCCTACTACAAGCACCTCGGTGTAAGGAATACAAGATCGCTCTCCCAGACTAGACGTAGGGCACCTATTGCCTGAACCAGTATAAACCTTTTGTCTCTTTGCATCACTATTCCGGATTAGGGACACGCAGTACACTTTTACTAGTTGGTTGAGGATCCGTCGGTCCAAAACACCGACAGGATTCGTCTCAGTGCAGGTGGGAGGTAGAGTTTGGATGCGAACTTGCGAAGAAGTGGTAGTATGGCTGGTTGGAGAAGCAACAAACCGAGCAGGAAAAAAGGTTGGCACCTGGCGGCCATGGAAGGCACCTGGCGGCTGGTGCGAGTGGTGGAGAAGAGCTCGATTTGGGGACGGGAAAGCTTGATTCGGTGGTGGGAAAAGTCGATTCAGAGGCGGGGAAGCTCGATTCGGGCGTCGGGAGGCTCGATTTGGGCTCCTGCGAGCTGGAGAAGAAGGCCGGCGGAGGTCGTGCTTGCCGGCTTGCTCGTGCTCGTGCTTGTCTACGTGCGCGTGAAGGCCGGTGTGCTTGTGCTTGCCCGCCGTTGCTCGTCTGCTGCTAGTGCTTGCCGGCGTGCTCGTGCTTGCCGGCGGAGGTTGTGTGCTCGCGTGCGTGCTTGCGGTGGAGGTCGCGGCGGGGGATTGCAATCGCTGCTTTTGCATACGCTGTTGGAGGAGACCTGTTCTGGGTGCCGGACTCGGGCCACCGTGCGTGACCTAAATCGGTGAATGGGTCTCGGTTTGGGTACGTGTTGTTGGAGACACTCTAAGTCTGTCTCTGATAGCAGATTCATTGCGAAATCAAATTCAAAATGTGCCTTTAATAGAGTATCTATAGGAAAGATCTATTTTAGATGTTCTGAGTGTACTTTTTTCTAAAGATCTATTTATAGAAAAAATTGTTTTTAGATTTGATTGTTGAAGAAGCCTTAAAAATAAAAATAGATATTAAACCATCTGTACGTGGCGCTGTCCGAACGACAAATGATCTTGTATTTTAGTCGCGGTTGCGGGAGACGGTCTCAGCAAGCAGTCACCTACCACTACCAGTCTCCACTACGCTTGCTGTACCACCATCAACAAGCCGTCCAAACAAAGGCAAAGAGAGCGATCAGGGCCTGGAGCCGTGGAAAGCGAGGCCGCCGCCGTCCAGGGCTAACTCTGCCCTGGGCCACACTCGCAATGACGAAGCCGCATTCCTCTTCCTCTTGGGCCGCCTCCTCGCTCTCCTGTGTCTCCTCCTCGTCCTCGTCGAGCTCCTGCTACGTGCCGCCGCCGTGGTCACCGAAGTGCAGCAGCAAGAAGCAGAGGAGCAGCCGTAGGAGGGCCAAGAATGGCGCGGCCAAGAACGGCGCCGCCGTCGCCCCGAGGAGGACCAGCTCCATCTACAAGGGCGTGACCAGGTGCGTGATCGACCAAGGTTCAATCTTTCTCTTCGTCGGCGATGTTGTTGAGTTCTGCGCTTGTGATTTCTGAGTGAGCGTCGCGTCGTTGCGTTCGTTGGCGCAGGCACAGGGGAACGGGCAAGTACGAGGCGCACCTGTGGGACAAGAACGCTTGGAGCCGGACCAAGACCAAGAAGGGCAGGCAAGGTGGAGTCTTGTTTACTTGTCCCGCCGATGAACAAATGATTCTTTTTATTTCTTCTCTGGTCTCAATCTGTTTGATTTCTCACGCTGTAGCAAAATGTGCTGACATTCTTCTCTGTTTCTTCTCATTTTTTCTTTTTTTTTTCTTATGTGCTCGGACCTCGACATTCGTGTGATATGTGGATGTTTCATGTCTGATGGTCGCGTCGCTTCCAACAGTTTATCTGGGTGAGTCAAGATCCTCGCATCCGTAAAAAAGCTCACGAACTTTCCCATGCTATGATTCACCAATTATCTGATCTGGGTTGCGAATGAACTGCATTGCGTTGTTCTGATTGATTTCGGCTTTCGAATCTACAAAAAAACTGCTTTATACCTTTTCAAAAAAAAAAAGATCGAGTGCGGTGAAAAAAATTACTTTTTTGGATAAAGTTGAAAGGACTTGGACTGTGTTTTGTTTCTCCCCTCTCATGCTGCACAATTAAGGTCCTTTGGGTTGTTGGAAAAAAAATGTAGGATTCTCATTCTTATGGATTATTAAGGTCTTGTTCCATGATCTGAAGTTTAGACCACTCTAGCTCTCGATAGACTACAAACAGAAGGTCAAAGTGTCTAAAGTTGTCTCACAAAAAAGTATAGGGCGTGTTTGTCAATTTGGAGTGCGGTAGTAGCACTTTGTTTTTATTTGACAATTAGTATCTCAATTATGGACTAATTAGGTTCGAAAGTTTGATCTCGCGATTTCTCAAAACTTATAGTTAAAGTGGTCTAAAGTTTCGTCGTCTAAAATTTTAGGACACTCTAGCTCATTTGTTAAGTCAGATTCTGTACTATCACCGGACGCAAATCGTTCTAATTGATATGGGCACGCGTTGTGAGTCTGGATCGAGGGCGCATGTATATTTTAAGAATGAAAAAATGAGGTAGAGATAGCACTATGGTTTGTGGAAATAGCTTATATGAAAAGTTTAGGAATTTTTTTTGTGTTTGATTCCACAATAAATAAACCAATGTGTTTCTTTGCAGTTGATTCAAACATCTATTCCAACAAAAGTTCTTTGTGTTTTTATTTCTCTGATTCCCATCCATGTGTTTTTTCTGTGTATCTTTAAAATTCCAATCCTACATTCCAAGAGGGCCCTAAGAAACGTTCCCCAGCATAAAACCACCATGAGGTATTTGCATAAATGGCAGGGATACACGAATTAATTTTTTTTTTATCTTGTTTCTTCTCAGGAGCATTTGACAATGAGGAGGCAGCAGCCCGTACTTATGATCTCGCAGCACTCAAGTACTGGGGCTCAGACAGCACACTCAACTTCCCAGTAAGTTGAGATAGTTCAGTCTGCATATGTCATTGTCTCAGTAATGCAGTAGTTTGCATGCTAGGCCTTGTTTAGATTATCTCAAAATTTTAAATTTTTTCACTCTCTTTCCATCACATCAGTATACATAGAGTATTAAATATAGGTAAAAAAAATAACTAATTACACAGTTTTAGTTATAAATCACGAGACAAATCTTTTGAGCCTAGTTAGTTCATGATCGGATAAAGTTTGTCAAATACAAACGAAACATGCTACGGTGTCCAGATTGCAAAAATTTGCAATCCAAACAAGACCTAGTAAGATTAATTCTAATCGGTACTGTGCTAGTGTGAATCTAAACTCTCACTGTGATAAATTAATGCAGCTGGAATCGTACAGGCATGAGCATGACAAGATGCAGCGCATGACAAGGGAGGCGTATCTGGCCACTCTGCGGCGCAAGAGTAGCTGTTTCTCGAGAGGCGCCTCCGGGTACAGGGGGGTGGCCAAGTAAGCACGAACACACACGGTGCTTAGGCCATCGGCATATCACTGTATCTCTGTATCTATCCAACCCAGCGCCGGCTCGGTGGCTCTGCTGAATGCATCAGCCACTAAGCGATTCTTTACTGAGCAAAGCCACCACTATCTAGGATGGAGTTTTTGTCTTCTTATCTAAAGTTTTCTGCCGTCACCACTCCTTCCAGTGAAGGCATGCAGCAAATCTGAATGGTTTTGCTGAGAGTTCAGGGAAGTTCTGATGAGAGTTTTGGTTCGCAGGCACCACCATAATGGCAGGTGGGAGGCCAGGATCGGCTACGCTTGCGGCAAGAAATACCTCTACCTGGGGACGTTCGGTATGTGTATCTTTCTTGGTCTTCCACTGCATTTTGCCAGTACTGATGATCGCAAGAAGCCACATTTTTGTTACAAGATCACTGAATACAGGATCACTGTTACAGGATCGTGCATTCAGCAGTCTTATCCGTCTGGATTAACTTGCATTTTGCATTCTGATATCTGCATTTCTTGTGGCAATGTATGATCTTCTTGGATGATTAATTTGATTTTTGTTCTGAGAACATTATGCTTGCAATAGTTTTCTTTTGTGTGTCTCAGTGTGTGTGCATGCCACTGCTGCTGTGATTTGTGAAGGCCCACGGAATGTACTACTCTGAATTGTTGACTGGTCCTCTTGGATCTTTCTTGTGCTGCAGGGACGCAGGAGGAGGCAGCCCGGGCCTACGACCTTGCAGCTCTGGAATTGCGGGGGCACGCCGCGGTCACCAACTTCGACATCAGCAGCTACACGGACAAGGACGACCGGCAGCGGGCTCAACCGCCGGTCCGCAAGGCCCAGCCGAAGCCGGCTCTGAAGCCCAAGGACGAGCTGGTGGACGAGGCAGCGCCGCTGCCCAAGGCTCGTCATCCTGTTCCGACGCCGCTCCTGACGCCCAAGCCCGAGCCGGAGTACGAGCTGGGCGAGCCCCTGGTGCTGCCACCCGGCCCCGTGCTCCGCGACGCCGACGACGTGGACCACGCCATCGCCGAGATCCTGCCGGCGCTCTGCATGGACCCCGCCGACTTCGAGGCCCGGTACCCCGCCCGCGCGCTCGGCTGCCCGTCCGACGACCAGCTGCGCGGCCTGGCGCTGCCGGACAGCGTGCGCTTCGAGGACGACATCGAGACGCTGTTCGACGCGCCCGGCGGCGGCCCGGGCGAGGTCCATGTGCAGCTCCCCGCCGCCGCGGGCGCCGTCGTGCCTGACGTTTCCGGAGTCGACGCCGACGCGGCCGCCACCATCAGCTCGCTGGCGTCCGCGCGCTGGTGGCGATGAGCTTGCGTTGCCACGCGGCGTCGTCCCGGGCGTGCACTCCACCGGCAGCGTAACTACGTGACGACGTGTGGCCGCTCTCGCTGTGGATCCTTTTTGGGGGTACGTGAAAGTGGAGGGGCTCCAACTTTTGGGACGATCCACTGTGGAAGTCGTTGTAACTTGTAACTTGTCGGCAAACGACGCTGCCATCCGGCTGTCCAAGTTGGAGGCCGTGACAAGTGTGCGCACGATGCTCTGTTCTCCGTAGCTAGGGCCTAGGAGTAGCTAAAAGATACGGAGTACCACTGATAAGCTGATCTGAAATGACAGGTTTCTGATCCTCCATGTCGTGTCCTTGTGCATGTACAGTATGTTTATGGCCTCCTTTTCATGTGCGTTTATGGCCTCTTTTTCGTAGAGCAGCTCCAGAAGTGCGTGTCTCAAGAAGCGGGAGCCGGTAGGAGCTCTACTAAATTAGAAAGTGACCACTCTAAGCTGTTGTTTTGACAAAAAAAAAAGTACAGAGTATACGTCTGCGCTAGATAGCTGCTGCATCAGTCGTCCAGACGTTTTTGAAGAGTGTAAACAGATCACTGGCTTGTTAAATCGAGAACACCTGCCTACAAAGTAGTAATTGAAGATTGTACCTACAAAGTAGTAATTGAAGAGTGTATAAAGATTACTGACCTGCTAAATCAACGTCTCCGTCCACAAAATAATACAACTATGATATACCTCCGTTCACAGAATAATGTAACTATGGCCCGTTCACGTGCTCTTAAACTCGGCTTGATCCGCTTATTTTTTTATCCGGAACAGTGTTTTTCTCTCACAAGTTCCTCCAGCATTCTTCCAAACCATCCAGATTCCTTCAAAATTCAGACAAGCGAACAGGCCCTATGATATTCATGTTCATTAAAGTAGTTTAAATTTAATCAAGTTTAGAGTGAATAATAATATATACATTTATATCTCCAAATCGATTTATTTCCATAACAAATCTGATGGTTCTTATTTTATATCATAAATGTTTGTATTTTTTATAAAATAAATGAGTCCTTAGAAACAAAAGGTAAACTTAAGGTGAGCACTTTACCATGCAATTCTACCTGTCATTCATAAGAATTTGCATACAAACAAGCAAGGCAAGAAGTAATGCTAAGGGACAAAGAAATGGATAGGGTACGGGGAGCGGATTGTTTATGCATAAGTCTTTAGCACAATTAATTATCTATTAGTAGAAATGTGTGGATCATCGATTAGATAACACAAAGTTTGTTTTTTTGTTTCAGGTTTATAATGTGGGACCCACATGTTGATAATTTGCACAAAGTACTAACTGCTATTGAATCATCTGCAATAAAGCTTAGTTAATTTCACTAAAATTTTAGTATGCACACGAGATATTACAGGGTCTAGCTTTTGACATGAGTCCCACATATATATATATCTAGCTACACCAATCTGCATAAAGTAGCCGCCCGTTATAACGAGTCATCTCTAATTAATTTCAGTTAATTTGTGAAAAAATTAAAGTGCGAACAGATGTTTTTTTTATTTTAGGGTATATCTTCCAACGTGGGTTTCATATTAAAATCTAGCCGCACCAGTGTGTATGAAGTAGCCTGCTATCAAACCGAGTCACTTAAAAAAACTCAACCAATTTTGCTCAACATTTCAAGTGTGAATGTAAAGTTCCAAATTTTACCATCCTGGTTTTAATACGGGTCTCGTATTTAAATCTACTCTTGTTAATCCGCACAAAACTGCAGACTGCTATATTGAGTTATTTTTAGCAAGTTCCAATCAATTTCGCAAAAAAATTAGGTTTTTCATTCCAGTGATCCAGATTTGACATGGATCCTACATGTATATATAACATTTTATGTGTAAATTAGTAAGCAGTTAGTAGTTCAACTAAATGCAATAAGTACGGATAAGATTAATTATTATTTGATGGGTGTGAATAAAATTGAAAATGATGAGAAATAGATAATAATGATATGGAATTTTTTATTGTAGATAAGCATAGTTGGGAAAGATTGAGCTTTCCGTTCCGCGCCAAATCCAGCCATACCATCTACCATCAGCAAACATTCCGTAGTTGCAGCGCGCCCTGAGAAACTCATGCTCATCGGTTTATGTAGTTTTTGCTCCTCTAAGGCTCTAGCTAGATTATGGAACAGAGGGAGAACATATCTTTTTTTTTATCTCAACGAGCCCCCCTTTTTCTTTTTGGCAAGAGAGAACAAGTCCTCAGGAATAGTTTTTGCTCCTCTAACTTCTTTGAAACGGGCCGCTACCAAAAATGGTATTTTTACTGTACAGTTACTTTACAAACATATTATGAATTAAAATTTGATGTCTCCAAATGGATTCCTCTGGAAACTTAAAATACCCTTAAGATTAAGATCTTTATCTAGTTTTAATCAAAGGTGTTATTTTAACCATGGACAATTTAATTAAAATATATTGGAAAGATAGTGAAAGTTGTTGTTTTTGTAATAACAAGAAAACTGTATAACATTTTTTTTTGACTGTCATGTCTCTAAATTTATTTGGAGAGCACTTCAAGTCGCTTTTGGTTTACAACTGCCATAGAACGTAGCTAAATTATTTGGGAATTGGCTACAAACAGTATACCCAAAAGTTGGGTTCCCAAATCTGGATGGGGGTGAGTGCGATATGTTGGTCTATTTAGCTATGTCAAAATGATGTTGTTTTTGACAAAAGAAACTATTCTTATATGCAGGTCATTTTTTGGGCTATTACTCGATTTGCGGTCCCGTTCGGCTTACCCCATATCCGGCTTGTTCGACTTCTTTTTTTCATCGAACAATATTTTTCTCTCACAACAATTCAGCCAGAACAGTACTTTTCAGCCAATTTCAGCCAAAATTCAGCAAGCCAAACGGGGCCTTTGGACCTAATTACAAAAAAGAGTGTCTGACCAATTATGAAGTGAGCTCAGTGCTTAGCTTTTGGACCTAAAGTATGTTGGAAACGGCGGTCATGGAAATTTTCACCAATTATGGGTGGATGTCTTCTAAAAAGGCTCAATGTTTAGCTTTTGCTGTTTGAATTTGTACTTTGTGGTCAAAAAAATGTTTTGGCTTTTTGCTGGTTTTTGTTTTTCAGCTAGAGGAAGAAACTTTTAATTTTGTTTAGTTGAGTGCACAGCACATACAGAAATCAGAATAAAAACTATTCTTTTTTTAAAAAAAAAGAGAGCAAAAGATGCTCGGAGGCAACTGAATTTTGACGGCCGGTCAAAAGAACAAGATGCGCAGCACTCTAGGCGGGCGAAATGAAACGTAGTATACTCCTATATATATCCAACCAGCCCAAATCGAACCAGACTTGCCCACTTCCCCAGCCCGCGGAATAATGCGCGGAAAGGATCGAATCCGCGTCATAAAACTGGCCCATTTCATCTAGTCTCGCGTTGTTGGATCCAAGCGTCGCGATCAGGAGCGACGGATCCATCATCCATGGCTGCTGATGACGCTGGCTCCATGCCGATGCGGGTCGACTCAGCCGGGCCCTCCTCCATTTTATCGGTTATCGACTTATCGGTGAAAGAAGCCCGCCTCGGGACAATCCCCTCGGACCGGACCGCACCGCGGCCAATATAGCCTCGCGTCGCCCTCGCTCGCTCGCGTCGTCGCCCCACCACCACGCGCTCCCGCCTCCGCCGATCCGCGCACGCAGATCGCCGAAGCCCGGCGGCGCAGAGTCCAAAGGGGAGGGAGCTCGCGGCGGCGGAGGAAGGCGTTCGCCACCGTCGCGGTGAGTGCTCCCCGTCAAGCGCCTCTTCCTTCCTTCCTGGTGTCAAGAATTCCGCCCCGCGCCCGCGCGGATCTGATCGTCTCGATCGTCCGATCGAGTGGTGTTTTTCTCTGCTACGGGCTGCTGCATGATTAGCTTAGATTGGACGCTAGTGTTGGCGAGTATGTTCACTCGCGTGTCTCTGCTTTTTCATGCGAATCCGATTCGATCCCGCGCCTGGCTTTGGATCTCGTAGGATTTCCTTGGGGAAGAGATGGGGCTCTCCTTTGGTAAGCTGTTCAGCCGCCTCTTCGCCAAGAAGGAGATGAGGATTCTCATGGTCGGGCTCGATGCCGCCGGTAAGACCACCATCCTCTACAAGCTCAAGCTCGGCGAGATCGTCACCACCATCCCCACCATCGGTGAGCCCTTTCTCCACCATATTGTTCTGCTTTGCATGCTAAACTATACTGTGGGAAATTGCTAGTAAACTGTACAGGGCATGCAATTTCTGAAATGCACCCTCGAATGTAGTGCCATGCATTCGGGTGTGTATTTACTGTCAATTCGTGAAAATGGTCTGTTCACAGTAGTCTAATCTAGCTATAATGGTTTGAGCTATAAAAGTTGACAAAATTATATCCTGGTTCCTGAATATTGCTCTTCTGTGTTACATCATTTTCGTGTAAAAATGAGTTGTTAGGATAGTAGCTTGAGTACTTGACAAACGTGGGCTTCTGAATGACATGCCATCTTTTTAGGAGCGTTCTGTGTATATCAGAACTTGGTAAATATGAAATATACATTTGTTACCGATCCATGCATGGTATGGATTTACTATAGTGTAGTCGATTGGCTTATCTTGGAATTTTGCAGGATTCAATGTTGAAACTGTTGAGTACAAGAACATTAGCTTCACCGTTTGGGATGTTGGTGGCCAGGACAAGGTGAGCATATGTGCTTATAGTTGAGTTATTACATCTCATCATGGTATCAACTCTTTGCAAATGTGTTTTATCTCAAGATCCATAGCATTATTCTGTTGTGATAAACTTTACCGAGGAATTACGGTTTCTTTATTCTTTATGTCAAACAGATCAGGCCCCTGTGGAGGCACTACTTTCAGAACACACAGGGACTTATTTTTGTTGTAGACAGCAATGACAGGGAACGTGTTGTTGAGGCTAGAGATGAGCTCCACAGGATGCTGAATGAGGTAGTATAGTAGTGTTGTTTTAGTAGTTCCAAAAGGCTCCATTCTGCAACTATCCTTTCTCTCTGAGTAGTTTTTGTTTCAGCAACATTACAATCATGAATTTGGATATTGTATGAGCTGGCTTGCCAACAAAGTTTTTTAAAGCTGTCAGAGCAGCTTATGAGACATGCATAGGGATGCTAAAACATTAAACAACGCCATTTCACAGTGCTAACTTTCAGTTCCTGAATCCATATTGTGCTGACCTAATCCCTAATGATATAACTATATTTCCATTTTGTAGGATGAGCTGCGTGACGCCGTGCTGCTTGTATTTGCAAACAAACAAGATCTTCCTAATGCTATGAATGCTGCTGAAATTACTGACAAGCTTGGTCTGCATTCCCTGCGCCAGCGGCACTGGTAAGAAATTTTGTTTTCATAACCCTTTACCTCCCTGTATCTGAATCAACGTTGCCTGGCGTTCTGATATTTGTTAGTTTATCTGTATTGGACATATTTGCGAGTATATACAGCGTATCTTTGAAGCACTTGTTTTAGTCATCATGTCTTCATGATGTGAGGTTATATGGGATCAGAAATGATGCATTAATGTGCATCCCTTTAGATACTGTGATTGAGCTGATTTTTTCTCCATTCCGCAACTGATGTATTACTGTCTTGTCTTGAATAATTGCCAATGTCACAATTGCCTTCGATATTTAACAGATGTATACGTGAATGTGTTTGTTCCCTGGGTTGCAGGTACATCCAGAGCACTTGTGCTACATCTGGTGAAGGGTTGTATGAGGGGCTTGACTGGCTTTCCAACAACATCGCCAACAAGGTAACATTATCTGCATGCTAATGTCTTATGTGCTTCTGTGAATACGTGAAATAATGTGCCTGTTCTGATTATATGGTCCTTAGTGGTTGAAGTAACATAGACATGCACAGAACAGAAGCTCTATTATTGCTGCCTCACATTTTTCTGTTTTGCACTACCATACTTTTATTTTGATATATTTTGAGGGGCCACACTACCATACTTACAATTCTGCATAGGCATAGAACTCCTAGGACATGATGACTGGCTATGGCTGTCAGTGGTTTTGCTTTCAAAAAAAATGCTGCTGGCAACTGACTGTTTCCATTCCATCTGTTTGCAGTCTTAAAGCTTTTCGGCTGGGCTCCTAGCAAGAGGAAGACGTTTGAGCAACTTATGGCTGCTTTTTTTAACTTATTATTACTGAGACACAATCTACAGTAGATAGTGTGGGTGCTTATGAAAAAAAAAAACCTTCTGAGCTCTCTTTTGAGTGATTGATACTGGATTGTATTGTATTTTTGTTTTTGTGTCGGTATCATCGCCTGTTCGGTTTCACAAAACTGACTGTCAGTCATATATATTTACCTATGTTCGGATATGGTTTGGTAAATTAAATTGACGTGCCTTATAGGTCTTCACCGATCCAGTGCCGTGCCAGATGTGACATGTGAGTTGCTAGATTTTGTTCTTAGATGGGTAAAAGCTTATTACCGTGCACGCATGACTTAAGACTTGTTTGATACACATGGCTAGTTATTAGTGGAGAAAAAAAAAAAGAGCTTGAATTAGCTATGGTTTGCTAGTTAGTTGGCTCATAACTACTAACTAGCTGAAGGCTTAGCTAAACACTATGGGGAAAAATGGGGAAAAAATAGCCTGAATTAGCTACGGTTTGCTAGTTAGTTGGCTAACAAGTAACAATTTAGCTAAACATTATGGGAGAAGAAGATAGGTAGAGGCTTTGGGGATTAGGTGGTTTCCATGCTGCTGGCTTAGAAGAAGTTTTCTGGGGAGGCTCTGTATTAACGAAGGTGGTGGTGGAGGGTGGCGGGGGCGCTGCCTGCTAGACGGTGGCATAGATCGATTGAGTGGTGCAAACGTCAGAGGCATCGGTGAAAACAGGATGAGAAGGCTGGGATTAGCGTGGCAGTGGTGGAGGGTGGTGGCGGTGTGCTGCCATAGCCGGTTTGGTGGTCGAAGAGACTTGATTAGGGATGGTTGTGATTGTCTGATCGAGCACTGTGTTGGAGGTGGCAGCGAGGGACTGGGGAGCGCAGGTGAGGGATTCAAAGCGGGCGGAAGGAGAAAGAGGAGATATTTGCCGCACATTAACATGTGCCAACTCAAACCCAATGTTGCAGTACGCACCGTTTTAAGATAGCTATTGACAAATGACAATTGACATGATTTGACATCATCTTCAGTTAAATCAGTGTTGTGCCTATAGTTGAACGTTCGTAGCAAAAGCAGATCACCCGGCTTGTGCATAGTTAGGACTTAGGGTGTCTCGCTGCTAGGTAGTTAGAGCATGTCTAACGGTTTTTCTTGAACTCACTAAATTCTCATTTTATAGAGTCATTTTAGTAAAAGTCGTTCTCTATATCTCTATCCTCTATCCTCCAACAATCTCTATATCTTGTTCAGTACTTTAGAGGAACATCTTCTCCCTATTTTTAGCAAGTGAGAATCCAGAAAGAGAGGATGAAAGCATTTGGTGATCTAGGCGAAGCTTTAGATGGCATTTGGTGATCTAGATGAAGCTTTAGATGAGGGTTTTTTATAACAAATATCTATTTTTATCAATGTGGAAAGGCTGCTCAACTTGACAACCTCCGTTGCAAAAAGATGTTTCTAATTATTTCTTTTTTTTTTTAATCACAGCACAACACAAACGCTCATATATATCCGTACACTCACCCATATAAACACACATACACATCCTCTATCCCTATGTACATCCCAAAAAGATTGAGACTGATTGTTTGACTTTTATCAAAAAAATCTAGCGATACTTATTTAGTATCATAAATTTTATAGTTTTTTTTAATAAATTTGATGAAAATTGAGGTAGCTCAACTCAGGACTACACCAGAGTTGCATTATTTTTGGATGGAGGCAGTACAGAAATGTTGCTCTGGCCACATGCTAATACACTTACCAATGCAGCCCGAATCCTCATACATCGCACTCAAATGCTCTTTCATTCAACAGAACAAATGGATTTGTTATATCACATCTTTTGGTTTATATGGTACAAAATGGCGAGATATGCAGACTAACGTTTTCAAAGGATACAATGTCTGGCTTGATCGAACGTTTTCAAAGAATATACTATAATTGCACCAATGTCCAGCTTGATCAACCAGTGTCTCAATATATCCCAGTCGATTTAACCAGTGTCAGTGAGATGCCATCGCAATGGAGATCCACGCGTTGTACAGCCCATGGGGTTTTTGCCTGCAAAGTTCACAATCAATATAAAGGGGTGATATCTGAAAAGGAACTTGCAGGGAGCCAGGGCAATATCTGAAAAGGAACTTGCAGGGAGCCAGGGCTGTGATTTTCTTACGAGTAAATATTTTGGGCATCAATTTCATTAAATAAATTGATAAAAAAGCGGAATCCATCTGGACTAACATCTCTGCACAACAGGCCTGAGAGAAACAGAGGTAGTCAGATCATACACGTAACTTGCAAAATACTTGAAAGTTACAACCACACATACCTTTGTTTTCTGCATTTAGAAGATGTTCCTTTGCTAAAGCTGGAGCAATTCCCAGTGTGAATGCGGCATCACTTGGGCTAATCCCTTTCTGAAGAGCATCCGGCTTCTGTGCAAGTGATGAGATTCTTGCAAATACCTATGTTCGTTGAGGAAAAAGTTTAGCGATTGCTAGTGCCTAGTAGTAGTGCTAAAAACAATGCTAGTGGCAAACGTACAAAGTACAAACATAGACAACTACAGAATCTGTGGCGGCAGTATAATCCACTAACAGAGTCAATGCTGATTGACTGTAATATATGGTTTAGTGGGTATTCAGTATGCATTAAGGCTTATTGTTGCGGTTGCTTACCTCTTCATCACTATGTGTCTTGGTCTGGATCACCTTCACTCCACTATCAAATTTCCTGAGCATGACTGGGCTGCTCATTACAAATCAACATCTATAAGCAAAACATCAAAACCATGATCAATGGCTGGTGACGAGCCAGCTGGAAAGGCATTGAATTACTCTTTGTGATTCCCATCATCCTGGATTGTCTTCAGAAAAGTAAACTTAGCTAGTTTGGTGATCATGAAAAGCATGATATACATACACATCAACTTTCTCCCACAGCGAACAAGCTTGCAAAAGGTCCTCTGGTGAGATTAACTCTAGAAACAAATAAACAAAACTAATTTCAGAACACAAGTAACAAGGAAATTATATATATATATATATATATATATATATATATATATATATATATATATATATATTATAGACAGAAAAAAAAACAGACCTGTTCCCCTAGCACGGTTGAAGAGACAATAAACATCGACTAGTGCCATCATACCACCTGCTTTCTCAAGCGGTATTCTTACGAAGTCCGCCAGCTGACAACGAATGGACAAAATAATCATTGGCAAATAACAAGTCTGACACTTAGTATAATGCAGCTAGAAATTTAAGGCCTTGTTTGGATGCACATATATCCACCTCAATCCACAGCCTAAGGAGGAATGGAGAATATGGAACTGTGTCTCTCAGATTAAAAGGAAACTCATTCTCTGAAGGCATGGACAAACTTTTATCCTTGCCTCCTGCCAATTGAATATATAATCAAGAGTGTGAATCTTGTAATTTGTTGATGGCTTGAAGTGTTCATACTCCCTCAATTTCACAATGTTTGTCCATAGCACATCATGCACACTACCCAGGACAGTACTAATTACAAGGGGAAAAAAATCTAATAATACAAAACATGACACAACTATTTCTCTTCTTTGAAAGCATTTAATTAGTGATGGAGATTCGAAATGTTGCAACAACTTAAACTCTTGATATCCTCAATTGACAAACATTGCAGGACGTATTATACCAAGGCCATGGACAAACATAGTAAAACAAAGGGAGTAAATGATAATATTCTCGAGATTTCTCCTTTAATGTGCGTTCTCCCGGGCGGCAGCGGTGTTGACCACGACCTTGACGTGAGCATGCCATCTCCGCGAGCACGCTGTGGTGAGGTGGATGCGGTGTCGTGGCAGCGCTGTGAGGAGGCCGATGTGGGTAGTGCTACAAGGAGGCGGATGCAGTCATGCAGAGGGGGTCGTGAGGGGAGGAAAGCGGTGTAGAGGGAGGGAGGTGTGGCGAGTTGAGGGAGAAAGTTGAGAAGCGAGCCTACGACGGCTTCTTAGGACCTGTTTGGTAGAGCTCCGCTCACAGCTTCTTCGAGCGGATTTTGTGGAGCTTACTAACCGTTAAAATGCAACTGGCTTCTGGTGGGGAGCTGACAAGAATCATTTTTTCATTTACACTATGAGCTAGGAGCTAAAAAAACCGCTCGCCATTCAATCACCACCAGAATCACTTCTCACCTGCTTCATCAGAGAATAGGGATGGCAATCACACCCGTGGGTGCGGGCGCCCGTGGGCGCCACACCTGTTAGGGTGCAGGTGCGGGTGCAACGTCAGACCCGCAGGTGTCTTCGGGTCGAGGCCCACGATGGTGTCAGATCGAGTGCGGGTGTCATATTTCACCCGCGGGGCCCGAAACGTATGTTTTTCTTTTTCTATCCCCGCTCCTCCAATTAGAGGCCTAGAACAAATGTTTGTCTAAGCCTATGTAAAACCTAGGATGATTTGTATAGACTATGTTGTCTAAATAGTATGTACTAGACTAGACTTATTGTTGTGAACTTCCAATTCATTGGTGATGATAAATTGATAATGTGTGTTGTTTTCTCTCATATTTCATAATTTTTTTGTTATATGTTAACTGACATTACACCCGCGGGTCTCATTGAGGGAGGGCATAGCCAAATATCGCGGCCATCGTTGAGGACGGGTTTTTACTCCACCAGCACCTTACCCGATCCGTTGCCATCCCTATTAGAGAATCAAGGAGTGAAGCTCGAGAATCAGGTGGAGCTCTAGCAAATTGACCCTTATATTTTCATGTTTCTCTTTCTACCGGAGGAAGCACTTCTGGGACAAGCTCACGATAAGCTGTGCATTTGGGTTGAATTGGGTCTTAAAAAAACATAACCTAAGAAGCAGGGTTGCCAAACAGGACCATAATCGTGAAACACAAGCTATTTTTCTGTATATATAGTATGTGCATAATCCATATGGTGTGAAC